CATTACATAAAATTATGTTGTCTTTACCTTTTTGTTAAAGTTTAGTCATATGGTTCCTTTTTCCCCTCCAAAACACTTAATTGGAATAATTAATTTTTAAACTCATCTCAAATCCTTGTGATTCTAAAACCATGTGCACCCTAGGTACACATGGTTTTAACCATATGCAACTAATACACGATATTTGGTTTTAAACCTGTAATATTAGGATTTATCAATTATCATTGTTGTTGTCGTTATCGTTGTTGTTAGTGTTAGCATTGCTTCCAAGACAGATGACCTTTCTGACTGTGCAAAATATGCTATGAGCAGGGGCATCATTTAGACTTGCGGCTTGTAAGGAACCAATGGCTTTTGATAGATCCTAAGGTAGAGTTTCTGATGTCAGAGGTTAATGAAGAGAAAACTTCTGGGGATTTCAGAGAAATGGGAGTAAGGCTTGCTCAGGAAGTAACTTCTTTTGTGAAAAAGAAGATGGAGAAGGCCACAAAACATGGAAATTTGAAAAGCATCAAGATCAGCTTTGTCGGTCATTCCATTGGGAACATCATCATAAGGACTGCATTAACAGGTTCGTTTTGTTCAACATTGTGTTTTTGTTGCCTCCTTCAATCAAATCTTTAAATATCACAATAAGTTTGTGTTGCTACTTTTTGTAGAGAGCATTATGGAACCTCATCTCAGATATCTGCATACATACATTTCTATATCTGGCCCACATCTTGGTTACTTGTACAGTTCAAATTCTTTATTTAACTCTGGGCTGTGGCTTTTGAAGAAGCTCAAGGGCACCCAGTGCATTCACCAGCTTACCTTTACTGATGACCCCGACATTCAAAATACTTTCTTGTACAAACTTTGCAAGGTACTGTTGGTCTCTAGAGTTCTTTTTTTGGGGGGTGGGGAGTCTGTATTCTCAAATTCCCTTTTAGTGCACTACAGTTTCATTATGAAAGGGTCTGTTATATGAAACATGACACTTATTTATGTAACAAAAAACAAAACCGTATAAACACACTTTCATGATGCAATTGCCAGAGTGCATTACTTCCCAATCTAATTAGTGGGTTAGTTTACTGAAGACTAATAACTCATGTGTGACTAGCAGCGGAAGACCTTGGAGAACTTCAGGAATATTATCTTGTTATCGTCTCCTCAGGTATTCATCATCCTTTTCTTTTTCAAAGCACAGATGCATTGGATTCTTGAAAAGAAAAATAAAATAAAAATAATTTCTGGTTTTTTGTCCTTGAGAACTAAGAAGCCATCACAGCTTGTAACCTATATTAATGCAAAGAATCACGTGGTGCTACTTCTTCAGGATGGGTACGTTCCATACCATTCAGCTAGGATAGAGATGTGCCAAGCATCCTCAGTAGACAACTCAAAGAAGGGGAAAGTTTTTATGGAGATGCTCAACCAGTGTTTGGACCAGTTACGCGCCCCTTCATGCGATCACCGGGTTTTCATGCGTTGCGATGTTAATTTTGACATATCCTTGCAGGGGAAGAACTTGAACACCATGATCGGAAGAGCTGCTCATATTGAGTTTCTTGAATCTGACGCTTTTGTGAAATTCATCATGTGGTCGTTTCCAGAACTCTTCCATTGATTGCTTATAAGATGGATGCTTATGATGATGGGCAGTTTTACTTGCTGCATATTGCACCTGGGAGAGCTTTTCAATTTCTTGGTACAGTTTTTAGTATCAGATAGGTTTAATTAGTTCTCTTGGGTGATTGTATCCTCCTAGCATTTACCCGAGTAAACAAGTTAATTTTTATTTATTTATTTATTTATTGATTTGAGAAATAGTGCAGTCATAGATTTTGTGGAATTTTAGTCATGACTAGGTAAGTAGTTTAAGATTGTGCACAACTTGTGTGCTACTCTTAATAGTATATGTATAAAATAAATAGTAATGTTAATAATAATATTATTAATATTATTCAAATAACTATTGCGTATATGAGTTTGGCGTTAGTGTAATATCCGGGGTAATACGTAGTATATTACTCCGTACTATTGTAAAAATAAAATATTACTCCGTCGTATCTTGAACTTGGTATGTTATACTGTTGGGTGGGGGGTGGGAGTGGCATAGGCATGGACCAGGCCTCGAGCCGGGATTGGGGGCGGGACTGGGTTTTGGGATGAAGGCCCGGTACCGGCCCAGATTGGTACCGGGACGGCGGGACCAGACTGGTACCATCGGAACATTGTGTGATACATTATAAAATGGAAAATACTTGGTGTACCTGACTTGTACACATTGTACACAAAACCTCATTAGTTGTCTGTGTACATAGACAATTCTTTTAAAAAGAGGTATTACTTCATGTCAAATTGTTTGTGTGCACAGACAATGTACACATTTTGTGTACAACTTGTGTACACCAAGAATGGTTCTTATAAAATATCTTTATATTTTGTACACTCGGTATGGGCCATGGGGTATCCTTAATGTGTGATAAGAAAAGATTCAAAGTTAAGAGTATGTTTGGCACAACTAGGTGAAAATATACTTTTATAGACTTTTTAGTAATTGTTAGCTTTTAGTGACTGGAAAGATCTTAAAAGTAAAATGTGGTAGCTGTTTGGTAAAAAGCTGACTGTTTGGTTTAGTTTTGTTTGGTATACAAGTTGTTGGGACTAATTTGTACTAAAAGCCACAGACTTTTCTCAGATGCTACTTCCAGTAGCATCTAAAAAAGATCTTTTATTTTTTGAAAAGCTCTTAAAATTGACATACCAACATATAACTAGGAGCTTTTAGGGACTTTTTAAGTAGTACAAAAGCTAGAAGGCAGAGACTTATGTCTGCCAAACATAGCCTAAACCACATTGTATAATTTGTAATCAATAAAAGCCCGTTTGGTGATCATGTTTTCGGCTTATCAGGTTTATCAACCAACTTTTTTTGATTCCACACGTGCTAAATTTTGTAATAATAAGAAAAGGAAGGTTGAAATTATTTTTCTGGCTGTATTGGATGAAGTTATTGTAGAGAACTATTTTAGCTATTTTCATATAACTTTTTCTTCATTTTATTAATAAAATACAGTTTAATTAAATTTTTTTTTACATAAATCAACAGAATCAGTCAATCTAGTCACTTCAATCAAAACTTCATAAGATTCAACCGATTTAGTATTACCAAACAATTTCTAAGTTAATTAAATGTCATTTGATTCAATATTCATAGTGCGCGCACACAAATATTTATTCATGTGTGCCAATATTAATGGAGTAGCAATTTTGTAACACCCTAAATCAGGTTAATCAGCCAAGTCTAGGAGGGCGAAGGGCTGGGTGAGGACTCATCACACTTCGTTTCTATAGGAGGCATCAACCTCGTCAAAGAGAAGATAAAAGGAACCTGGTGAAATGGGATATATATTGAGAAGTTCGTGTATACACCAGGGCGTGTACATGTTGGTTCTTACTTCTTACAAGTCATACAACATGGGGCCAGGGGCGGAACCAGGATGTGACCAAAGGGGCCGAAGTATTAGTGTGTCCTTTACCTTAAATTTTCCATAATGTCTACCCTTGAATTTATTTAAGTTTACACTTCATAGACGCAACCATATCTAATACTATGTAATATGTAGTATATTTTTGTAATAAAATAATTAAATAATTAAATAATTACGCCTCTAAATTAGCGCGGGCACCACGGGATGATGAGGTTTTTATTAACTATTAAAAAATGAGCGATAATTAAAGTGTTTTTTGCTACCACACCAAAATTAACAAAAATTGAGGGGTCAAAATATATTACAAGATAAAATTTAATGAAATTTAAAAAATTGCTAAGAGACCAAAGCCCCCTGAGGCCTGAACCCCTACTGATTATTCAACATTTCACACACTCATTGAACTCTAAACATATTGTAACTATCATTACAATTTTATTAGTCCAAATTAGGTGGTGTTATCCTTTTGGAGTTTTGGTTATCACTGTAAACGTTGTTTGCTCTTATTAGTCCAAAACATGATACTCACCGAACGTTGCTTGCTTGCTGGTTGCTAGTACAAAAGTTTTACTAATAAGGAATACTAATATAAAAAAATTAATATGTTGGGAGGGGCCATGACCCCCTACCCCTAGGCATAGCTCCGCCCCTGGTCATACATACAATTGCCTTAAAAAGACTGAACTATTTTGACAAATTGCTTGTGTTGTTTGTACAAAAAGAGAGCATTAAAAAACCGTGTAAAATAATGGGTATTAACCAAAATTTTCCATACATAATACTACTAGTCATCACTAGAAGGTCACATCATTGATAATGTTTGAGTAAATAACATATCTTCTCTAAGTGGAGGTTGCCAAGTGTTTCCACAATCACATTATCATATTTTATTCGATTGTTTGAAGTAAGAGCCAAGTTTCACCAAAACACAATATAAGAACCACTCAAAGATTGAAAGATATAAAGAGAAATGCGGGCATCGGTATCCCAACAGACATTGAAAAATACTTAAAGAAACGTTACTCCACAAACACAAATAAAACTCACAAAAGATATGCCACACACAACGTAGAAATGAGATTGACGGGAAACAAATATACCTTTGAATCGCAAGTATGGGTGCAAATGATTCAAGCTATTCGCTAGCAATTCATGAGCGGTTCAAATGAAACTTGACTTAAATTTGACCAAATCCGAACATGTGCCGAACTCGAGCCATCTCATTAAGCAATTGAGCCAAGTTCACGCTCAATCCTATTTGCCTATGAATCCTGAACTGATTCACGGGTAATAATGTAAATATATTTATTTTTCATTTATTTATTTTACTAATTAATTAGCTATTTACATATTTATTTATTTATTTATTTACATATTTATCTATTTATTTATTTATTTATTTATTTATTTATTTATTTATTTATTTATTTATTTATTTGTATGAATATATTATGAGAATATTATCCGAAATAGGAGTAAAAATGTTTTTATTCAGAGTAAATGTTGGAGTACATATTTCTAGCCCCGCGTTTCTGGAATGCGATGGCCGATGAGGCGCAGCAAGGTCAGTAGCCTTCTCTTCTCTCTCGTGTCTGAGGCGCCTAATTCAAACCTATCTTGAAGCGCGATTATTCTGGTGACCATGCCGAGACCCCCGAAACGAGACAAGCATCCCAACTCTGTTGCCTCTCCTCATCCACTACCAGAACTGTAATTATCTCAATACAACTCCAACCTTATAAGCTTTTAAATTTCAGTAGTTCTCTATATATATGTGCACCTCCTTTGGCTTTTGTTCTTCTGCGAAGCTTGCGAATTCCCTTCATTTTTGTTTCTTCCCCAGATGCTTCGAAGGAGAAAGCCTGGATCATCTCCTTGAAGCCTTCTCCAGGTGAATAATTGCTTATGTTAATAGTTGGTTGGCGTGTCTCTTTTCACCCCCTCTCCGCCTTGAATAATCACCTTAACATTGAATAGCGAAATAGAGTCTGCCAGAAGCACGGACACAGCTTTGCCGGAGAAATTCTGGTTTAAGGTTGGTAATTTTAAATTTTTGAGTTTCTTACAGAATTGCCAGTCATGTTGGACTAGGGTTTTTCTGATTAACAACACAAGAAAAGAAGGGGTAAGATAAAATGCGAATGAGAGCAGTGGAGCATGCTAGCCTCGGCCCGTCCCAACAATTGTAAAATATTGATTTTAAGAGCCATTTGGTAACCATTATTTTGGACATACTTTTTTTAATTAATTTTTTATTTTGCATGTTGAGTTTTGTAGTAACGAAGTAAGATTGAATTTACTTTTATAGTTGAATTGATTGGTTTTGGCTAAGACTTATCTTAGTTGTTTTTCATATAACTTTTCTTTATTTCATTGATAAATATATTTTAAATATAATATTTTCATAATTCAGCAAGTTCAGACGCTTTAACTAGAATTTCACAAATGCTAATTGCAGTGTTACCAAACGACCTCTAAGTGTAAACAAAATGTGTACATATTTATCTAGAAAAACTTTATACCAGTTTATCAAAAATAACCTTCTGACTACACCACTGCATTTTATGTGTGTGTGTGTGTCTAATGAGCAGCAACAGTTCTCAATGGGAGTGAATGAAGTGACACGAGTGCTTGAACGCATGCCCCCAGTTGCTGCCACGCCCAATGACGATTCAGTCCAAGCAGTTCCTCCTCAGACTCAACTTCAAGTTACCTACTCTGGCTTAATGTCCAATTCAATACTCTGTTGCTGGTTCAGTGATCATTTGCTCACTTTTCATTATTTAACAACAGGCTATACTGCTAGCATCTGATTGCAACCCATGGGGGTTGACCAAGCATCTATCCAGCTTGGCTGCTTCTAGGAGGGTGCCTCTTTTATTTGTGAAAGACAAGAAAAGAGGTTCTCTTAGGTTAGGGGAAGTGGTCAAACTCAAAACTGCAATTGCTGTTGGTGTGAAGGTTGTTGCTGTTAATCATAATATGGTGTTTATGTGACAAAACCCCTTTGATATACAACATATTACTTGCATTAATAATTTATTATTATTCCCTTAATTCAAGAAAAATGAAAATAACATAATCTGCTGAAAAGATAACATTTCATTGCTGGGAAACATTCACAGTATGCCTTTATATTTCCATTTTTGCTTTATCCAACTAAATTAGCATTTACTGCCGACTTATATGACATTGCACTTGATGTTGTGCAGGTTAGAGGAAACGCCATCAATAAATTGGTCAGCAGTCTGCTTCTTCAAATGCCTACATAGTTTTTTTCCACTCTAGTCTCTACATAATGACAACTCCCAATTCCAATTCAGTTCTTGTAGTTCCTTTCAAAAAAAAATTCAGTTCTTGTAGTTAAATATATGCATACCCAAGATGCAGTGTTGCAATCAATTTTGATACACCAGTAGTTTTCTGAGCAAGGAAAAGTATATTGTGAATGGATGCCTATGTTGTAAAAATGAAACTAGATTCCTTTCTGCATTTTAATACAAGATGTAGTTTTTGTACAACCACCAAAGCTCTCCTTAGTAAACCACTGCAGAAAATTCAGTACTCTATCTGTTGTACACTGTCCTACAGGACCTAAACCCTTAATTCCTCAAAGATGTGATCATTCTAGGGTGCCTCCTGCACTAAGCTGTGTGGCAGCTGGAGTAGCATCATTAGCAACCTGAGCTTCACTCTTCTCATTGTCTTCCCTCCCATTTGTATTCAGATTTTCTGTGTCGCTACTTTTCTTGTCTTGTTCCTTTACTAAGACAGGTTGAAACTGTCCAGGTAAATGAGATAAATAGGTCAAACAATTCACACACACATAATAACCTTTAGGTGAAAATTGAGGAAGTATGGCGCATTAAATTGTAGGCCTAAGGGTTAAAAATTGAGAGAAAACTGAGAAAAAATGTGATGTCCCAACTCCGAAGTGCCTTAACGGTGTGGAAAAGTGTACCATTCTTGATTTTTTTTCTTTTACATACGAGACATGCACCCTATTGTACACACACATGCTCCATATGTCCCATAATAAACTTCTTGGTTTTGACATGGGGAATCAAAAAATTGAAATAGTAAGGTCATTTTCTATAATATGATCAAAGTAAAAAGTGGTAAGTTTCTTTGGACAGAGAATATACTCTGTATACATCTAAGAGCATTGGTGGATTCAGAAACAAACCTGGTAGACTGAATATATGACATTCCTCCTTATTTGTGCCATCATTTCAATGAAAAGGTTGTATCCTTCAAGCTTGTACTCAATGAGGGGATCCTTCTGGGCATAACCTCGCAACCCTACAGCCTGTTGTACAAACTTAAGTGCTTGCAAGTGTTCTTTCCACAGCCTATCGATGTTGTTTAAAATCAAGAACTTCTCTGCCTGTTTCATCAATCCTGGAGCTTGTTTCTCCACAACGTCCTAAGGGGGAAACCCAATAATTCATATCTACAATTTAAGATACAAACCCACTAAAAGAAAAAAGACGCGTGCTTATTTGCACATGCAATCTTCCTTGCTAAAGATGGAACAACCATGAGCTCAGTTAAATGTCACTTATCGGACTTCAATGCACTGAACATAAACTTACCCTTTTCTGTTGATACACTTCTCGACCAAGTAACCTGAGATAATCTCGCAATTCCTCATAATTTGAGCATTTATCAGCCAGTAGACTGGGGGTCAAATCACTCATTAGATAGCAATACCTGTAAGAAAAATCAGAACTTAGAAAATACAACCATCACTAGTTTGCTAGAAATTTAGCAATGCTCCACGGTACACACTTACTGTTGGAGTTTAGCAATAAGCTTCTCAAGATCCCAGGTATCTTTTGGAGAATCGGGACTAACATTTGCCTATCACGTGTTTAAGAAAATTGTAAATGTAACAGAAATTGAATTTCTATGATTTCCCTCTGAATCCAGCACACTATTCATAGAGTTTCACCTCGAGGATGTCATCCATTGTCAATTCAGCATATTCGTTAAGGAGTGATTGGAGATCATCTGCTTCTAGGGCCATCCTTCTCTCTGTGTAGATACGATCTCTTTGGCTATTTAAGACCTCATCAAATTCAAATAGCTGCTTCCGAATATCAAAAAAGTAATTTTCAACCTTCCTTTGAGCTTCATCTAACGCTTTTGTCAGTATCTTTGATTCAATTGGTAGGTCTTCCACCCTAAACATTCTCATTAACCCCTGATAAAGTAATGACATTAAAGTTTCAGCATAATCTAACATTGCAATATCTAGAGCATCTATGTTTATGTTTAGGCTGTTGTCAAACTAAATTCAAACCTGGATACGATCACCACCAAATATACGGAATATGTTGTCTTCAAGACTAAGGAAAAAACGGGAACTTCCGGGATCTCCTTGCCTCCCACTTCTACCTCGCAGCTGCATATATCGAAGTATCTAACACATCTCAACAAATTGCCAGCACTACTAATAGTTACTCCCTCCATCCCGCTAAGATTGTCCCATTTTACCTTTTCAGGAAATCCCACTAAGATTGTCTCATACCAAATTTGGTAAAGATTGTGTGGATCTAAACCATTCTTACTTTATCAATTTAATATCAATCACACAAACCTATTTTTCTTAATAATCGTGCCACTTTCTTCCGTCCCAATCTTAGTGGGACGGAGGTAGTACATTACTGAATTTAGGAAACCACTACTGAATGATATTATATTTTTTTCTGAAAAATATTATCAACATCCTCCGCCACCTTTATATCACCGATGTTGGGCAGTGTCAATCAAAATGTATAGAATTAGTTAACATTATATATATTCATGTAAAAGTAGAAGCACAGTTTTACGCCATATGCTTCTCCATACGCGCCCACCGTCTTACAAAGGAATAATCAGATGATATTCCAATACCATCATCATCACAGGTTTTTCTACTTGTAAAAAAATCAAGTAATGAGGAGATATAGTAGTTATGAGGGCAGATCATATCAGGCCGGCCTGACGGGAACCGCCGTCAGGCCGAGGCTATTTGGGACCGTTCCCGGTGTAATTTTTTGATGAAATATTTTGAGCATGTTCCTCATCAAGTCTAGTTTATTCATACCAAATTTCAGCTAAAAGTTCAATCGGGAAGGCGGTCAAAAAAATTCCCTACGAAAAATATGCATTATATATATAAACAGCGCAGTTTTCATGGGGAATTTTTTTGACTGCCTTCCCGATTGAATTTTTAGCTGAAATTTGGTATGGATAAACTAGACTTAATGAGGAACATGCTCAAAACATTTCATCAAAAAATTCCACCGGGAAGGGCCTCTGATGGCCTCGGCCGGACGGCAGTTTCCGTCAGGCCGGCCTGACAGGATCGGGACTCTTAGAAAATACTATTTTCTTTGAATCATTGTTACAAGATTGAAAGTGTACCTGATTGTCAATTCGACGCGACTCATGACGCTCAGTACCAATTACATGGAGCCCACCCGCAGATATGACCTGTCATTACTAAACTGATAAAGTTGCAGAAAGTGCATCCCACTATTCTAAGATCCCATGAATAGATAAGAGGTTCTAGATGAAAGCATTACAACGCAAACAGCACGTTGTATTTAACAAAAGGAGCTGAGTAAAGGAAATTGCCTTTTGTTTCTCTTCCTCAGTATAAAACTTATACTCTCTCGTAATTTCCAGAAAAGCACTACGAAGTTTTGATATTACTTCATCTTGAACAGGACCCTGCAACATGATTTTTCTTTATAGAGTACTTGTACAATGACATGGTTTTTCCGTAGAAAAAAAAGCATCTGTCACAAACACTCGCCTTTTCACAGGAACAAGACAGTCGCTCCTCTGCTTCAAGTTCAGTCAAGGATCTTGGGCCCCATATTTTTACAGCAAGTTGCACTGTTTCCTCTGCCAGCTTATAACTTTCTTTAGATAACTTGCATGGAAATAAACGATCATTCACCTGCAATTAGCCACTTACATTCAGACAGATTACATAAAAGGGCATATGTAAGTGTAGTAGTTATGAAAATTGAAATCGGGCTGACCTTCCATGTCTTTATTGGAGAAGGTTTCTTTATGGAAACATATGCCCCTTCTGCTGGTTTAGCAACCCTATAACACCATGGCCATTCAGAATGCATTTGAAAATCTCATCATTCTAACTTTCTAATAGGTTGCGGGTTACAACTTTTTAACATTTCCTTATTGGTAAATAATTATCAAATAATTATCAACACCTAGTAAATTTTATCTCACAGTTTGTAGAGATTTACATCAAAACCTTTCTTCCATGCTCAACTACAAGGATCCCATATCTTCCTTCATGTCATAAAATGTACTACATTGAATCTGTAATGTGACGTTAATTTTTACAAAGTAATTTCCACAAATTTCCACAAAAGAAGCTTATAAGATTTCTATCAAGAACCACCATACATAAGAGTATCGTAAGCACTTGATGTTTCCTATATGTGGAAGCCTAAAACAAATCAGAATGCATATCACAAAGCTAATAGAACAATTTAAAAAATAAACATAACAATGACAACAACGACTAAAGTTACAAAAAAACTCTCCTTTTCAAAAGGTTTCTCCAATAAGGTTTTCTCAGTGTTAGGAGTAAAATTGTGCTAGTACTATATGGCATATGAAAAGTGAAAAAGTATGGGAGATTTGATAAGTAAATAACATACGAGAGAAGAGAAAAAGTAAGGGCATCAATGACATTTGATAAGTTTGTATTTGTCAAAAGGGGAAATTGGACAAGTGACTAAAAACTTCCTTAAAAGGAAAGTGGAGCAACATCTGAAATATGGAGGGAGTATTGAAAGATACTTAGATACCTTGGCATTAACATCTCTCTTAACTTCAACCTAGCCATGAACTCTGCGTTACCACCAAGGATAATATCAGTACCACGACCTGCCATGTTAGTAGCAATTGTAACGGCCCCTAGACGGCCACTCTGTGCCACAATTTCAGCTTCTCTTTCCACATTCTCGGGTTTTGCATTGAGTACCTTAATTAACATTACAAAGGACTTGAGATAAAAAGATAAATCCTTTCAGGCGAGTTAGCAGTGTAACCAGTGTTGTACTTGCCTCATGGGGGATTCCAGCATCATGCAGCTTTTCTGACAATGCATCACTTTGCTCAACGCTGGTTGTACCGACAAGCACAGGTCGGCCTATTTTATGCATTCTAGAAATCTCCACAACCACAGCCCTCCACTTTCCTGTAGCTGCCCTAAAAACTACATCTGATTCATCCTTGCATGCAAAAATATATATATGTATAAGTATTAGGATGACAATACATTATCATGGATGGGGACTCCTTTATATACTGTATGTGTACAGAAGTAGGACTAATAAATATAGAGATACATGCATGCATGTAATAGAGCAAATGGTGTAATGGTAACTTCAGAGGCCGAGCTCTGGGCTCAGCTTT